GTCACCATTATGGTCCGCAAACTAGTGGGGAAGGCAGCAGATATTTACCGAGCTGTACCAGAAGAGCAGATCAGAGACAATCCCTTTATTACGCAAATTCTCCTGGCCCGGTATGCGGTCACCCCCGAGCAATACCGCCAAAAGTTTAGGGAGACCCGGTGTAATACTAACTTATTTGGAACGCAACTGCAGAATTTTTTAATTACAGAAATTGATAGTTTTACCTATTTTTGTTCCTGATGTGGAGGAGAGGATACTGTAGCTTTAAACCCTCAAGCAGGTTGTTAATCGCAGGGAAAAAATAAGCCACTGAAGATTTGCACAGAGCCAAACAGTCCCAATTAAGAATAGTGCAGAGAATGCATGCAGTGTTAGGTTGAATTAAATGTAGTAGAATAACTACAAGCAAATTTATCAATGAGGCAAGACAGAGTTTGCAACAGGGAATAAATTGATTGAAGGAAGTAGTATTTAGCCTTAGAAACAGTTTCTTATTAGTAACTGAGAGTAACTTGATTGAAGGAAACAGTATTGAGCCTTAGAAGCAGTTTCTTATTAGTAACTTAGAGTAACTTGATTGAAGGAAACAGTACTTAGCTTAAGAGGCAGTTCTGGAACTGGAGAGCTTAATTTAATCAAATAGTTGAGGAGAGGAATAGAAGTCCGTTTAACAAGCCGAGGTCGAGGAGTGGAGAAGGAGGTTAGTCGTTCCAGAGCGATTTTCGGTACACGGTTAGTTCAAATAGAGCAGCTGGTAAGTGTTTCACAGTCACCTGTACAATAATCCAGCCCTTAGAATCTGGCGCGGTCTTCCTATGTAGCGTGGAAAGACCGCGTCAGAAAAAGGGGCGGGGCGAAGCTCCGTGAACCCGGAAGTGGGTTAGTTCGGCGAAAGGCACGGCAGGTATAACCTGACACCCGGAAAGGGGAGAAGGACTTCCATGCGGAGTGGGCATGCCGCATCACAAGGGCCACCCAGAACTGGCTCAACTCCCATCAAGCCAAGTTCCCGGAGTAGACCACCCAGCTCGTCATGCTAGAGCACTTTTTCAATGGGCTCCCAAACGACAAGGCGACAACGCATTCGTATGTCATCCTTATCAACTTTCGATGCCATTTACTGCACCTACCATGGTGCCCCCGGGTAACGGGGAATAGGGGTTCGATTCCGGAGGGGGAGCCTGAGAAACGGCTACCACATGCAAGGAAGGCAGCAGGTGCGCAAATGACCCACTCCCGATGCGGGAAGGTAGTGACGACAAATAACAATACAGGACTCTTTAGAGGCCCTGTAATTGTAATGAGTCCACTTGAAATCCTTTAACTCTGAACAATTGGAGGGCAAGTCTAGTGCAGAGCCACAGACCCGTGTGTGCTGCATCTGAAACTCCACTATCGCCTGCTGCTGCTTGCACAGTCTCTCCAGCATGTGCAAGGTGGAGTTCCACCTTGTGGGCACGTCGCATATGAGGTGGTGAGCGGGAAGGCCAAAGTTACGCTGCAGCGCAGACAGGCGAGCAGCAGCAGGGTGAGAACGCAGAAAGCGCGCACAGCCGCTACAGTGAATGTCACATCCTGTTCCAAGTTGCGGATCAGTCTGGTGATGGCTTCTGGTATCCAGTACTCTTTTTACTGAAGCTGCATCAGGGTCCTGGTATGTGGCCGCACAAACGCTGGTGCTCAACACCAGGGGGCGTGCGGTTACCCTGCACCAGACCCTGCTAATCCATTCCACACTGTGACTCCTAACTTCAACATCAGGCATACTGGGTCCCGGTCATCCGACCGCCGCCCAGACAGTGTCTGGGTCCCGGTCACTGGACTGCGAAACTGCGAATGACTCGTTAAATCTGTTATGGTTCTTTTTATTGCTTCAACTGTTACTTGGATAACTGTGGGAATTCTAAAGATAATACATGCCGACGAGCGCTAGGGGACGGCTGCTCCGCTTTTGCACCCTGCTCCCTCTTTTACTGTGCTGGTGCCTCTGTGCGACCAGCGCCTCTTCCTCCAAACTGCACACGTCACTCACATGACCTTGATTCCATGTGGGGTCTAGGACCTCATCATCCTCCACATCATCTTCCACCCACTCCTCAACCCTGCCCTCCTTGCTGGTATGCACACTGCAGAAAGCCACAGCAGTTGGCACCTGTGTTTTTCCAGCATGTAAAGTCTGCAAAGGACATATGGAAATTGTTTTCAGAATTGTATCCAGGCAACAGTTTTCCCTATAAACTGACCTCTCAGTTTGACTTGTAAGGGTATTGCCCCACAATTACAATATTGTTTAAGTACCTCTTAGCTATTGATAACTGGTTTAAATATAGCAGTTTGTTATCTGGTAGTTTCTAGTGTAGAAAATATCAATCTGTTTTCTATCACTTAGATCTGTGTAACAAGTGTTGTAGGTGTGAAACAATATTACAAGTGACCGATGTAGTAAATTTGAATCAAAGTTCCATTTGCAAAAAAAATTCTCGCCCATCTTCTGTGGGTTATTGCATTTTTAAGATGTAGACTTATTGTATCACACTAGCCATGCACAGGTAGATTGTCTGGCACATTGTTTTGGTGTTTGGTTTTTAACTTTGTAGTTGTATACAATATAGAAATGTATATTAATGCTTCTGTATATGAAGCGATCACAATAACACATTTTTCACTTTAAAAAAAAAAAAAAATCAGGCTAAACAAAAATTGGTAATTAACAATATGACATCTGAAAAGCACATGAAAGGATGCTGTATGATTTAAAAAAAAAAAAAAAGAACACACTACATGAAGGTCCTGTTCACTAGTGTGTACACGAGTGTGTAGTCATGAATGTAACCAGTAAAACTTTGTTTTTACAGCCACTGGTTGGCCCATACATATTTTAAAACTTGTTTAATTTTGTTATAGCATGACTTGTAGACTTGTTTTGAACTTGTCTATAATACATATTTTTGTATGACACTTGTTACAGTTGCCTCCAGACTGGCTGGAAGTTGGACCGTAGAAAGGATGCTCCAAAGGACCATCAGCACCGTAGACACCACAGAAATTACAGAAATTATTCCATAATGCAGAACAGAAACAATTGGAAATTCTCCTCTCTGCCACTCTCCTCTCAGTAGCTAAGGGAGTATGAAGAGCATAGCAATCCCTGTAGTGATTATAGCTGTCCCCTACAAACATGAGTCGAGGCTGCAAGTTAGAGGGACAAGTCATTCTGTTTTATTGGCACCAAAAGGACCTTCTTTTATGCATGTTTTCCTTACATAGTTACATAGTAAGTTACATAGTTACATAGCTGAAAAGAGACTTGCGTCCATCAAGTTCAGCCTACCTCACATTTGTTTTTTGCTGTTGATCCAAAAGAAGGCAAAAACAAACCCAGTTTGAAGCACAATTTTGCAACAAGCTAGGAAAAAAAATCATTCTTGACCCCAGAATGGCAGTCAGATTTATCCTTGGATCAAGCAGTTATTACCATACATTGAAAGATTATATCCTTGAATATTCTGTTCTTGCAAGTATGCATCTAGTAGCCGTTTGAACATCTGTATGGACTCTGATAAAACCACTTCCTCAGGCAGAAAATTCCACATCCTGATTTTTCTTACAGTAAAAAAACCTTTCCTTTGCCTTAGGCGAAATCTTCTTTCTTCCAGTCTAAACGCATGGCCTCGTGTCCTATGTAAAGTCCGGTTTGTGAATAGATTTCCACACAATGGTTTGTATTGGCCCCGAATATATTTGTATAATGTTATCATATCCCCTCTCAGGCGACGTTTTTCTAAACTAAATAGGTTTAAATTTGTTAACCTTTCTTCATAGCCAATATGTTCCATTCCTTTTATTAATTTTGTAGCCCGCCTCTGCACTTTTTCTAGTGCCATAATATCCTTCTTTAGAACAGGTGCCCAAAATTGCACAGCATATTCAATATGGGGTCTTACCAGTGATTTATAAAGAGGCAAAATGATATTCTTGTCCCGAGAATGAATGCCCTTTTTCATGCATGACAATACCTTACTGACCTTGGCCACTGCTGATTGACATTGCACATTGTTGCATAGTTTGTTGTCTATAACAATTCCCAAGTCCTTTTCGTGTGTTGTTATCCCTATTTCGCTTCCATTAAGGGTATACGTTGCTTGTGTATTCTTTACGCCGAAGTGCATAACTTTGCATTTTGCATGTACTATAACTTTAAAACCATACATCCAATCTTCATAAAAATTACATATTCAGAATCAGCACACTGAATATAAACATAAGTATAAACATAAAAAAAATATAACTTAAATATAAACATAACCAAAAATCACACAAATCCCTCCAGTGGATAAAAAGTTAGACGGAAGTCCTTTATGACCGACCGCAAGCACATTTTCCTGCCTAAAACAGTTCAATAGATTTGGGCTGTGCGGCCGGTCAATTTTATGCAGAAAAATGACTAAGTCCCATTCGAACGTGCGTTCGAATTGCCGAACGGGACTTAGTTTCTGCAGCTGAAAGTTCAATGTAGGAGAAGGTAAGAGTCAGCGATGTTCGTTGAAATGCCCGTCCCAAGACTAGATTGCCTGCACAAGTTCATTGCCGTTCAGACCACATACCCACTGGGAGCTGCTTCTGACCACACACCAACTGGGAGCTGATGGAGTGACTGTCCGTCTGTTACAACTATTATTACCTTTACCTTCGTTTAGATCATCATCTGATTACAACGTTTATTGGGTACACCAAGAAAAATATTTCTACAATTGGTGAGATCTATCCATATATAGCTATATATAGTGCACTATATTGGACTACCAGGACTCTCAGATTGTTTTGATTGTTTTTTCTTTTTTCATTTTTTCTTTTTTCCTTTTTTCCATCCCTTTGTTTCTTCTTATTTCCCCTTTCCTTTTTTCTGCTTTGGATTGGGGATTTTTTCATTATTTTTCATTTTTTTCATTTTTTCATTTGTTTCATTTTTTTCAGTTTTTTCATCATTTTTTCAATGAATCATCACCAAGTGTATACACATTAGATGAACTTTATCCAACATATGGAATATTCTGTATATACTGTATATATTGTATATATTCAATGTATATAATTGGTGTACTCAGGATGAAATGAACAATTCTATTATCATACTCTATATAACTTTATTTAGAATAAACATTATGAATTTTTCACAGCAATAACAACTAGTATCAATTATTACTATTAGAGTGCGGTATTCATTATATAGTTTTTAGGATTGTTATTTGGAGGTTGTCTTTGGGGTTAACCTCGAATACCGGCACCTAGATGTAATTGAGTGCCAGCACACGTTGTAATAATTCGTTGAAATGTGTAGCCGATTTTAGTTCCATGAATTTGGCTACACATAACGCTGACCTCGTTCGAATTAACAAAGATGGCCGCCTCCATGTGTTGGTTTGCACGAACTGCAGCCACCCAGGGGTCAGCAATTTATCTACAGCAGGCTCCCAGCCTGGGAGGTAAATTGCCTGCACACTTCCACTTCTGGGTGGTCCGCCTGTGTGGTACTTGGTTCAGTAAGCCCCATTTACTGAACCAAGTGGGAGAAAGCCAGGAACAAGTTATTTTACAGGTCTGGGGACATAGTCTTAAAGGGGCATTGTTCATCAAAGTCACAATATGTCCCCAGATGGTTCTTAAAGGGGGGCACAATCTCACAGGGGCCATAGTCATGAGGAAGGAGGCTGGCAAATAGGCTTCTCCACAACCCAGGGAAGCAGGGCAATTTGTCATTTAAAGGGCCATTTACAAATGGCAGTTTGTAACAACACTTAGTGTGTTTTTTAATTGATTATTGGATTTTAATGGTCTAAGATAATTAACATGTCAACAGGCAAACGTAACCCAAATGATTTGTCTCAGTCTTGCCTTCTATACTACCTGCACCATACTCAACATTTATTTGTCTTCAGACTTTATTGAGAAGCGTTATCTAGCCAGTGTTGCACACATACACCAGATATGAAGTGCACACCCCAAATGTACTATTTAGCACCATAAAAATGTGAATTTTTAAAACTGCGATGTAACCACAGTATTTGACGGTTCTATTTGACTCTCAGATATGAAGTGCACCCCACTAATGTACTATTTAGCAGTTTAGCAGCAAAACAATTAGAATGTTTACAATTGCATTATAAGTGCACTATTTTACGCTTCTATTTGACTCTCAGATATGAAGTGCACCCCACTAATGTACTACTTAGCAGATTAGCACCCAGAAAATAAGAATGTT